TCGAAAAACAAATTAATTAAGTACCTGAAAGAACTCTTGGTAACGACGAACGGGAAAGCCAGGAACACAATGAACATTTCTCATCATCCAACGGATCCATTGTTCCATTTCATGAGGAATTAATGTTTGTGTGAAGCATTGTGGAGTCATTATGTCAAGGAGTTCAGAAACACCTTTAAAAAAGGAAGGGAAGTATGCATAAATTCCCAAGTGGTAGGTGAAAAATCCAGATGAATGTATTGAAACTTTCTGAGCTAGCATATAATTCGTCTGAGAAGCATAATCGAATAAATTTAAGACAAGCAGAATAACACACTTTTAAAATGATTTGAAAGCGTAGAAATATCCTTGAAGAGGTCCTGCCATAGTTGCGCGAAGGGTTCAATCCGACATAATGCATGCAAAAGACGAATCAATTCACGTCCAAGCTGAGAGCATCTGTCAAACTATAATGGACAATGAGGTTTAGGACATCAAAAATGTCAAACCGCAATAAAATAAGACTTACATATCTGCGTATAAAGTCGATAGCCAAATTAGATTCACGTTGCCTTAAGGCAATGAGCGATGAGTGGAGTGAAGCAGTTGAAGCAGTCACTTGGCTTGACGTGCTTCCGTTAGGAGCGGGAACAGAAACATTATGATCAGGTATAAGTCTCAAAAGTGTGTACACAGTGAGCGGAAGGAGAAAAGATTGACGATCTGTACTCTCTAACCATTCTCTATAATGCAAAATACAATTTCATAAATTAAGACGAACTTGTTACGCTCAAGCAGCTCAATCATAACATTGATCAACCACAAGTTTGGAGCACTTAAATCACCACCTGCCATTAAAGAAAATTATTTTGACATACTGGACATCCTTCTGTAGATGTGAAGCATTAAAACTTCAACACTGGCTCCTTTGGTTGCAATCAAGTCTGCAAGTAAGGAAACAAGATTTGAGCGTATGTTTTGAGACATTTTTGGCCATGTTTCAGCAACTAAACGAGTAAGCTCGGATAGTACGTAATTTAGATTGTCTCTAGAAGTAAGAACAATGTCAGTACAAAGTGATCGCCTTCTGTCTGGCTCTGTGAGGGCCAGATATAATAATCCAGCTTGCAGCATCCTGCGATCCTCGTCACCTCCAGATCTGTTAGCCTAATAATATAGAGTTAAATCGATTCAATAACACATACTACAGAATTAACTATGTCCGGATCATTTTCTCTTAAATGCTTTACAAAAGCACCTGCCTCTTCTAAGGACTATGGGTACATAATAATAACGGGAGAACATGCCTGAAGAAACTTAGGAGGAGCTTCTATTGGACTAAGTGTTAATAGTTGCAGGACTTTTCTATCCATGTGAGAGGAGAGAAAGCAAAAAGGCCTGAGCTGAAAATGCGAGGGAGTATGTTATTACAAAAAGTACGCGACCATGTGTAGTCGAGACTAAGAAAATTTATTAACTTCCTAAACTTATAACCTTCTTATAAGGTTTTGATCGTAAAACAAAATATTAATTATTCAGAATATAAATAGCTAAAAGATTATTTAAACATTACGTTTCTTATTGCCGAGGACTTGTGCCAATGAATAGTATTGTTAGGGGGACCTTCACTTCGGATGAAAATGCATGAAGAAGAGATTCATTGGTTGATCTCACTAGATAAGGACGTATGAATCTCTTTGTACTGCAGCCGTTTGGCTTTTATGCGATATTCATGTTGAAGCAGTCCACGAGACTTCCTCCCTCGTTTCGGGTGAAAACGTGCTGAGCTTTCG